AAACAATGTTTAAATGTTGAAGTGAACTACTCATTTTTAAATCAACTGTGAAACAGTAATAACGATTTTTAATCCTCATTCAAAGTGGAAATCAAGTTGGAATATGTTACAGAGTAATGATTCAATTTCTTGATCGTCTGTTTGAAATGAGCAAGTGGTGTAAGTTGGTCAAAGTTCAAGTTTCGGTCAACTGCAAGTTTACTGAAAAGAAATGTCATGTTTAACTTTTACAGCAAGATACTAGAGAATTGACTCCACGAAGTCTGAGTTCTTCATAATATCTTCTGTCTGTTCTTAAACATGTGAAGTCCACTCGTGAGGTGAACTGTTGTTGATGAAGTCCCGGCACCCTCCATTCGACCCAGCTTTCCTCGGTACGCTCGGTAGTGAACTCGACTCATTACCTCTCTGACGATGAATCAGTGGAAGCGGAGCTCCAGTTAAGCTACCGGTCCAGCGTCTCCGTAGGATGGCAGAGAACCGTCCGGAGTGGTGGCGGGACTTCATCAACAACAGTTCACCTCACGAGTGGACTTCACATGAGTGGAGTCCTTCAGAAGTTCCACTCAGAGGTGGAAGATGTCATAATCCCCAATACTCGGAAGAGCTCTGGATCATGTCGGGATTTTCCTGTTTCCCAAACGACTGGAGCTGCAAACTCTCCACCCGACTCCAACTGGGTTGAACTAGGAAGTACCTACATTTAAAGAGCTCTATTTCCGGTTCATTTGGGAGTTTCTGATTGGTCGATGGACCAAAACAGAGGTGTGTTTTGTGATGTAAGGTGTTATGAAAAGTCAAGGAAAAAGATTAAGATTGGCCCCTGGACCGGGGTTTGAACCAAGGACCTGCTCGCTGAGAGGCAGCAGCTCTACCAGTTGCGCCACCGTGCTGCCCGTATTTCAACTACTTTTCAGCAATTTTATTTTGTGCTAATTTCAGCCCTTTTTTTTAATCTAATTTACTAATTCTTGTGCTCATTTCTGCTCATTTAAACCCAGTTTAGCAAATATGTGTTCTTTCTGCTCTCTTCTGCTAATTTAGGCACGTTCTTCCATTTCAGCTACATTTCAGCATCTTTTTAGCTAATTTCCGCAAGTTCTTCTGCAACACTGCATTTTCACAGGAAATCTCTAGTTTTCAGTAAGGACAGTCTCCTAACAGGCGTGTGCCACATGTGACACCAACGTTTGTCCACAGCAGCAGGACTGGTTCGTTAAGACTCTCGTATATATTTTTCTGTGTAATAACGAGCTAAATCATGTTAGATTACTACAACGGCTGTTTAAAGGCTTGATGTTGACTCGGTTCCTGAAAACTGTGTGAGTGCAGTTTTCTGTTTTGGTTTCAGGCTCTCTACATGTGACCCAGGGTCCCCCAGCAGCTAAAAGCACAACGTTCAACTCAATTAGTGGCATGCATAATTGATAACTGTCTGGAAGAGTATTTGTATTTACACTGGAATTAAAAGCCTCCGGTGTCAGCTATCGCTTCTGAGGAGCCGTAAGTGTGTGTGTTTGGGGAGGAGGTGCAGGAGCATCATGAGAAGTCTTAGCTTGTCTGTTTTTCTGCTGCAGGAAAAGCTAAACGGCAGCTGATCCATCAGCAGCAACATGTTTCAGTTAAGCAGCACAAGATTAGTTTACAGCTCAGCTCACATTAAAACACCAATTTATAAACCAGTTGTGAACACATTCATGTTTTCAATTGTTAAAGGCTTGCTTTTGTATTTTGGAATACACGGACGCAGTTTGTTACTTTGTAAAAATAGAAATTTGACAAGTTCACCACCGAGGAGTGAATATTTAATGCTATTTCACATTCTTTGTGCTAAAAAGCCGTTGGATGCTACAATGAAAAGATTAATTATCTGCTGTCCTCCAGCTGTTTGGAAACTGTTGTGTTGGTTTTATTATTATTGCTGTGGATTCTACTTGATTTACATTATTTTTGTAATAAATTTTAAAATACAAATTCTGTCGCCTCCCAGTTCCATATAAATAATTTGCAAAAATTCCCTTTAACTAAACAAATTTGACTTCATTTATTGAGCTCTGGTCATTAAAGGGTGAATTGTTTAATGAGTAATAAGTGTAATAAAGTGAGGACACTTCCCCCCCTACTTTATCCTCACTCACTATTCAACATATAAATAGTGGCCCTGCAGTAAATTGTTACAAAATTCTCATCATAATTATTCACTTGTACCCTATTTGGAAACATTAATGTGTGAAATAAAAGATGTTACTGTGTCAAAACACAACTTTGTTTTGTTTGTGATGTTTTATTACAAAATCATGAGGTTTCGTGTCATTTTCACACAATATAAACCGAATGTCGTCAGTAAAATATAATCATGTTTCCAGCTCCTCTGGGAGGCGTTCATGTCAGAAAATTAATTTGATTTTGTTGGTAAAGTGTAATCATGTAATATTATGAATACATTATATCGTATATCATGTTATGATAAAATATTAATGTGATTTTATTAGTTAAGTATAATCCTGGTATCATGATTTCACTAAAGATCAAGTTGTTCTGACAAAATATAAATCTGATTTTGTTTGTAAAATGTTGTAAAATAATTTTATGATGTATCATGTGGTCATAAGATAATGACAAGGTCTTTACTGTTTTTAAGACAAAATAAACGTTTTGTGTTATGTAAAAATATAACCTTGTTTGTGTTGGTGAAGATGATCACGTTATAATATTATTAATTCATGATATATCGTGATACGATATATATTGTTTTATGAGAAAATGGAAAACTTCATTTAAAGTGTAGAAATGTGATTTATTATCGTGTAGAATTAAAACATCAGTGGTAATAAAGTGAAATCATGTTATTATAAGATCATGATTTTACGATATATCATGTTCTCATGACAAATTATAAAATTGGGATTTTTAAATATAATTATTTTAAATATAATTATGTTATCATGTCTTTATCGTTACAAAATATGAATATGATTTTATTGCTTAGGTATAATCATGTGACAAAAACAAGCTTGAGTTTGTTAGCAAAGTTCAAATATATTAATATGATATCATGATATATCGTGTTATCATGATAAGGCATGAACTTGTTCTTTGGGCAAGTACAGTAAATTAATGCTAACATAATATCATTATATCAGAATGTTAAAATACAAAATAAATTAAAACTAATTTGAATTAGCAATTTAAAAAATGTTGTTATGATAGTTGTGTTTCAGTTGTGTTTATTTAATCTTAAATTAAAATGTAAATAACAGTTGTGTAAATGAACTTTTTGCTCACTCAAACTTCAGTTTCATAAAATATTAAAAATGACATCTATTTTTTTAATAAATTACCACCAAAGTTGGCATGAAGTATAAAAAATATACACTTTAAAGTGCTGCAACTGTTCTTAAAGTCTGTGTGACGTGCTTTCAGGTTTCCAAGCTGCAGGAATTTAATTCCAGTGAACGGAGACACTGACTTGAGGCGGGACATTAGCAGGAACAAGTGTCTTCAGACAGCACCTCCACCTGCCGCAGCCTGCTGCGCCTGTGCAGCAGAGGACTGAGCAGCCTGATAACCTTGGTCAAAGTCAGAGTGGAGTGAAAAGCAGCAGTGGAGGAGTGACGGATGGCTCCGGCACAGAGTTCATCACCCATTTGATTTAGCAGAGAGAGAAGCAGCAGTCACCTTCGCTCCGCTCCGTCTTCCAGTTCTTACGAGGATGGAAAGTGCTTTCCTTTTACTTTGTTTCCCTCCTGCCTCAGCTCTGAACCTTTACACCCTCGCCTGTAATGATGTTATCTGCACTTGTACTGTTGCCCTCATTTCTCCTCTCTGAGAAACAGCATCTGCTTACAACACCTGCCACCATCATGACTGCAACTACACATCATTTAGCGCTCAGTTCAGATATCAATTCTTATTATTATATTTTCGCCATTTTGTTAAACACATGAACAATGGTCTTCAGTTATAAGTCAGCAAGGTCGAAAAATATGTGTATATATATATATATATGTATATATATATATATATATACAAAGTATATATATACATATAAATATCCATCTTCTGCGCCTCCCTACTTAGTCTGTTACCCCCGTATAAATATATGTGTATATATATGTATATATATATATATATATATATTTGTTTGTATGTATATATATATACATATGTGTATATATATATATATATATATATATGAATTTATGCATGTATGTACAGTATGTATGTATGTATGTATGTATGTATATATGTATGTATATATATATATATATATATATATACTTATATATATATATAAATATATATAAATATATATATATATATATGTATATATATGAATTTATGCATGTATGTACAGTATGTATGTATGTATGTATGTATATATATTTATATATATATATATGTATGTATATATATTTATATATATATGTATGTATATATATCGAGTTTCTGTAGTCAAGGATCAGACCGTCTTGTTCCCCGCCCTTAGCGGTGAGGTGTTCTGGGCATGTCCCACCGGGAGGAGACCCAGAGTGCCTTGGGATACCCCCAGCCACTTGGCCCGTATGTGTATATATATATATACACACATACACATCCAGACATACATATCGCTGCTTCTTGATAATGATATGTATGTACATACATATTTGTAAATATACATACATATATACATACATACTGTACATACATGCATATATTCATACATATAAACATATATATGTATATATATATATACATATATATATA